TTAGGATATAGATCACTTGCCTAGCAAGCACAAGGCCACTAGGTTCAATCCCCAAAGGGGAAAAAAATGTTCAAAAAGACATTAATACAAAGCTGCTTAGTGCATAATCAGCACTTTCAATTTTCATTTTCATTTTAATCTGTATCCTCAGATAATAGAACGAACGTTTAAGTTTGATTCCAAATGGACTTTCATAGCACACTCTCTCTGGCCAGAAAGCAGCACAATCACAGCTCTACCTTCCAAGGATATAACAGGATAAAAATCTTAAGGAGTACTGACCACTTCATAATACAATTTAGAGTTCGTTATTTTTAAAAATACTAAAATGTCTTAATGTTGATGTATGAGTTAACTGTCAACAGTGCAGTAGCAGCAACATTTATAGATTAACTGCTGTGTGTGTTTTACCCTAAGTACTTTATTAACTTTAGGCTCATAATCCAATTTACAGTGAGAATATTGAGACAATGATCAGTTTAAATAACCTGACCAAAGACACCCAGCTATTAATTGACCAGGCAGGCATTGAAACTCATACAATCCACTCTAAACCACTCTCTAAACCACTCTAAACCACTATGCCAACAGCATAGTGGCCCCAGCAAGAGTCCGGAAATCTTCACCCAAATGACAGGGAAGACCATGAATGTGTTATTATGTTCTCTCACAGTACTTCATGGTTTTAAGTACAATATAATAAAACTAATGTGCAGGAATATTCAGGATTGTTTTCATTTTATGAAGATAACCTTAACTATTTAAATGTAAGATGGTTGCTTTAGTATTATATTTTACTATCATGTTTCTTAGTCGTATGTTGTTTGGGAAATCCCATAATAACAAAGGGAAATGCCAAAATATACATAAAAAGTATACTGAAAGTGGCTCAGTGGTAGAGCGCTTGCCTCGTATGCATGAGATCCTGGGTTTGATTCCTCAGCACCACATAAACAGAAAAAGCCAGAAGTGGTGCTGTGGCTCAAGTGGTAGAGCACTAGCCTTGAGCTGAAGAGCTGAGGGACAGTGCCCAGGCCCAGAGTTCAAGCCCCACAATCAACCAAAAAGAAAAAAAAAGTATATTGAAGAAATTAAAATGTCCCTATAAAAGAAAGCTGTCATAAATAACGATGCTGTTGTAGTTAGTACTCCCATCCAGTAACAGTATTCTGCTAAAATTTACCCAAAATGAAATGGCTCAAATATACTCCAGAACAAATTAAATTTCTAAATATCACTGGGCACTGGTAGCTAGTAATCTGGTAATCCTAGTTACCAAGGAGGCTGAGCTCTAAGGAGCTCAGTTCAAAGCCAGCCCAGCCAGAAAAGTCAGTAAGACTCTGATCTCCACAATTAGCCACCAAAAAGCTAGAAGCATATCTGTGGCTCAAGTGGTAGAGTGCCAGCCTTGAGCAAAAGAAGCTCAAGCACAGTGCCCAGATCCTGAGTTCAAGCCCTGGGACTGACACACACACAAAAAAAATCTAAATATCTTCAAATTACATGACTTAAAATATCCTTTTGAATTCTTCATTCATAAATGGCCCACATACCATATTCCCTTCTTTTGAAATGGAAGTTTCTAATACCATTCATTCTATTAACTAACTTTCAAATATTTCCAATATTAGGCTGAATCATTTCAACCACTTTTACATACAAAAGTGGACACTTTGTCTAACAACTTTCTCAAAATGCAACATTTGCATTAAAGGAATAGGGCATACTCAAGACTTATGTTCTAGTTTTGTAATACTCCTAGTAGCACAAAGGATAAAGGTTTACAATTTTATAAGTAAATCAGGTGACAGTGGTTCAGGCTTGTAATCCTAGCTACTCAGGAGGGTAAGATCTGAGGATCAAAGTTTGAAGCCAGCCGGGGCAGGAAAGTCTATAAGCCTCTTATCTCCACTAAAACTACAAAAAAAGTAGTAGTAGTAGTAGTAGTAGTAGTAGTGGACTTGCAGCTCAAGTGGTAGAGCAGCTAGCCTTGGGCAAAAAGCTCAGGGACAGCACCCAAACTCAGAGTTCAAGCCCCAGGATCAGGGAAAGAAAAAAATAAAGTAAATTATAATGAAAACAATCATTCCTATGGGACAATATCTGCAACATATTAATAAGTTTTTTTCTAAAAAGACTGAATCACAAATCAGCATTATATTGATTACCAACTGTTTGAGAAACTTAGATGGGAAGAAAGGGACCAGTGGGAGAGAGAGGGTTAACAAAAAGCATAAGTGAGGATGAAAATGATCAAAAAGGTTTATTTCTAACAGGCACCAGTAGCTCATATCTGTCATCCTAGCTACTCAGGAGGCTGAGATCTGAGGATTGTGGTTCAAAGCCAGCCAGACAGGAAAATCTGTGAGACTCTTATCTCCAATTAACCACCAGAAAACCAGAAGTGGCTCTGTGGCTCAAGTGGTAGAGTGCTTGCCTTGAGCTGAAGAACTCAGAGACAGCGTCCAGGCCCAGAGTTCAAGCCCCACAACTGACCCCCCTCAAAAAAAAAAGTTTGTCTCGGTTTAGAAATACAAAAATGAGACCTGGTAAACTGTCTTCAGAAGAAGAATTAGATGAGACAGAATGATAGTGTGAGGTTGGTCAAGATACCTTGTTTACATGTGTGGAAACATCACAAAAGAACTCTCCCTCCCCCATATAACCAATATGTGCTAATTTTAATAACTCTTTTTTTAGACTAGGATTATTTTGGTGTTCTCCATTTGGTGGTTCTATTTTTTTTATTTTCTAATTAAAACACACTATTTCTGTAATTTTAAAAACAATTTAAAATAAGTCAAACTTTGCTTAATTCTTTAACAAAAAGTAGTTTAAAGAACTAATCTCTATATGGAATCTAAAACCATGGCATTTTAAACCACCTATTATCCTTTTTTAACTCAGCATCAAAGTTCATAAGAAATAATAACAACTTAAGTTACACCAAACGCCAGTGATAATCTTCTAAAGAATAAATATACATCAATTAAGCCTATACAGCTGAGTTTGGTTTCATCATTATATAATGATGATTTGACCTGACAAATGTTAAAATATAGGGGATCAAGATGGAATAAAAGAATGGAAGATGAGAGTCATAAACAGTCATAAAAGAGGAAAACCAACCAAACTAAACCCAGAAAAATAAAAAATTAAAAAGCTGCATTATACTATATGTGGGTGGGGGCGATGGAATAAATAGGCATGATTTGATTTTGAAATGAACAAATGTCCTTAAGTAACTTCTAGGAGGCATCTTACTTTAAAAATCCTGATTAAAAATCTAGATGTTCTGCCAGCTGCATGCAGTGTCTAATGTCTGTAATCTTACCTACTCAGAAAAGGCTAAGATCCGAGGATCATGGTTCAAAGCCAGCTCAGTCAGGAAAAGTCGTGAGATACCATCTCCAATTAAAAATTAAGCACCAAAAAAGTCAGAAGAGGAGCTGTGGCTCAAATGGCACAGCAATAGGTAGCCTTGAGCAAAAAAGCTCAGGAACAGTGCACAGGCAATGCATAAGCCCTGATTTCAAGCCCCACCACATGCACCAAAAGTAAAAAATCTCAAAGTTCTAAGCTTCTAGTCCTCCCCTAGGTAACCCACTGACCACACGAAATTGGCGATTGAGCCCAGATTCTGGTTTTCCCATTAGCAGCTAAGAAATCCACCTCTCCCAGACTATGCTTTTGTATTTATATAGTCAATGTCCTAAAAGCGCCAGGAGAAAGATTTGAGATGATAAATGGACCACATGATAGTTCAATTAGTCTACTGTGGTGTACCGCCCCCTAGCTGCTATGACAGCAGACACCTTTGGACCCATACACATATACACATACACACAGAAAAAGGCTTCAAAGTTAGAAAATTTTACAGGTAAATTTATAGCTTTTAGAACAGACCACAAACAGACATTAAAATTAGCTTTCTCCTTCCTTTAAAAAATAATAACACAGACAAAAATTTTTAAACAATACATTTTTTTCAACCACAAATGAGTAGTTTGGAGAAAATAAATATCTATGGGACACTAAATCAAAAAGAGTCAGCACTCCTGAAGAGTGACTCTTAAATAAAAGAATGATGGCACACACCTGTAATTCTGACACTCAAGAGACTAAAGCAGGAGTACAAAGAACATCAGGCTAGCCTGAGTTACAATATGAGATCCTGGCTCTAAAAATCCAAAAATAAAATTAATTTGAATAAAAATTGGAAATAGTCTTTAGAAAAATTCCATAGCACACTACATAGAAAGTGTTCAGTACAGGGATTTTTAAAAAATCTTTTACCAAACAAATCAAATACTATTACTAAAATTTTTCTGGTTATGAATGTATAGTGTATATTAAAAAGCACCTTAGAATAATGAGGTTTTTATGTTAATTTGAAATTTTCAGATACCAGCTGCAATCTGATGTTAAAATTAATCAACACTGGAGCCAATATATCCTGGCATAACTGAATTACATAAAATGTATGAACAAAGCAAAGAAAAATGTATTAAGTTCCTATATAGTAATTAATACCATCTCATAATTTTGTCTGTTAAGTCTTGCATTACATTTTTGTATTACTTTCCAATTTACCACCAAAAAACTCAGCTGCCAAAGTAGCTCAATAGCAACAATACATGAAAAAAAAAAACTGTGTTCCTTTCACTGTCCTGTTAATTACTCACAATTTACTAGTATTTGAAAACAGTGGGTTGCAGCTTGTTTCCACGCCACATACCCACGAGACACAAATAATATCCTTTAACAATGGTGATTTTACAAGGTTCTAGTTCTCAGCAAGGCTGAGAAAGGAAAAGAGAATCTGAAAAAGAAAATGGGAATAGAAAGAAAAGGGTAAGAGTGGGGATGTTCCTTTTGATAGACACCAATTATTAAACCCAGGATCTTTCTTTTAAGCAAATTTTTCAAACTTTTCATAATTTACCACTGTTCCAGAAAATAGGATGCAAATAATGTTTGAGGAAAAACAAAATCCTTACCCTGAAGCTCATGATGTATCACACCCACTAGGTTGGGTTCATCTCCCCACCAGAATATCCATAACTCTTTGCAATCTGGTTTGACATCACGACGCCATACACACAGCAGGTTGGCTTGCAGACAGCGGATGAAACTTAACAGGATTGGGTCATCCTGGGCTGGGGCTGAAATTATGGGTCCACAGTCCCCATGTCCTCCAAAATTGTACCTACGCCATTTGATCCCCGTGAGTTCAGCCTAGAAAAGACAAGAAAATGCAATGGTTTTCACTTTTTCCTTTTACTTATAAGCCCCTATAAACACCATCCATGAAGAAAAGCCCATTTGCTAAAAATAAATACATTAAAATTAACAGTGTAAGATTTTTTTCCCAGTGAAAAATGTACATCTACCCTTCTTAATTTGGAGGGTGGGAGGTTGTAATTCCTATCATGATTTCTACATAGTTGGTCATCTTATTTGTTATTGAACCATTTCATTTGCCTAAACATTCTAAAAATCCCCTATAAAATTACTTCTTGCATTATTTCTTATTCAAATCATAAATTATATTGAAAAAATCAGGTAAGAGCTTTAAAACAGGTGCACAGTTTGAGCAGCACTACCTAATCCAAACATCCAAAATCTAAAATGTTTCCCAGTCCACACTTCAAAGCATTATATATTTCAGCTCTTCAGATAAGGGATGCTCAGTTACTGAAGTATACACAAACAGTCCAGAATTTGAAAGGTTTTGAAATGTGAAACACTTCTGGTCCCAAGCATTTCAGATAAGGGATACTCATCAACCTATAGAAGTGAAATAATTTCTTTCAAAGGTTTTTCTCAATTTCTTCCCATTCAGTTTAAATCCTTTTCAATCAGGGAAACAGTTAGCATGCAGTATCATACCACTTCATCATGCATGCCAAAAGGCTATTTAGGAAGAAACTGCTAACAAAACTGATGCAGTTATCAGCGATTTACTCCTGTTACTTAATATGCAGCACACAAAAAAGCTTTCCTTCTGTAACGACTCCCTAATGTAGTTTGGTCTTTTGTTTTTTAAACACATTTTAAAACAGAGAAACTTTAAACAAGCAGAGAAGAGAAGCTACTGTCACTTTGTTCCATTATATGCATTTGTATTTTATGATTGTTCTTAGAGTTTAAATGTAAGAAACTAAACTTCAGCCGGGCGCTGGTGGCTCACACCTGTAATCCTAGCTACTCAGGAGGCTGAAATCTGAGGATTGCGGTTCAAAGCCAGCCCAGGCAGAAGAGACCGTGAGACTCCTATCTCCAATAAACCACCAGAAAAAAACCGGAAGTGGCGCTGTAGCTCAAGTGGTAGAGCGCTTGCCTTGAGCTGAAGAGCTGAGAGACAATGCCCAGGCCCAGAGTTCAAGCCCCACGACAGACAAAAAAAAAAAAAAAAAAACTAAACTTCATCAGGGTGCCCATGGCTCACAACTGTAATCCTAGCTACTCAGGAGGCCAAGATCTGAGGATCACAGTTCAAAGTCAATCCAGGCTTTGAAAGTCTCTGAGACTTTCATCTCCAATTAACCACCAAGAAAGCCAGAAGTGAAGCTGTGGTCCAAGTGGCAGAGTGCTAGCCTTGAGCAAAAAGCACAGGGACATAGTCTGAGTTCAAGCCCTAGGATCAACAACAACAACAACAACAAAAAAAAAGTTCTAAAATAATTCACTATAAACACACCAGAAATAACTGTCATATGTTCTTTCTGGTTGCTGGGGTTTGTTTTGTTTTTGTTTTTAACTGAAACCATACTGGATAATTTCATATCCTCCTTTATCACTTATTACTCTTCTAATATCCAATATTTGAAGAAATATAACTTAAGCACCCGGTAAGAACTGGACTGTTTTCTACTTTTTCCACTATTATAATTATTATAATTCATTAAATCCTTGAACAAATAAATGTTTTCCTAATTACTCACTTGGGAGAAATTGCTTGATACCAAACAACCAGTTTAAAATTCATGATAAAATATATTTTACCTGATATCTGTAACTGTAACCCCTTTGTATATTACCTTTATAGTAACAATAAAAATTTGAAAAAGGGGAAAAAAAGACTTGGAAAAAAAAAAGATTCATGACAAATGCTTCTTCTATTTCCACATACCTGGATTCAACAAACTACTCGTCAAACATGTTGGGAAAAAATACCTGTCTATACTCAACAAGCAGACCTTCTTTTCCAAACAATAAAATATCACAACTATTTACAAAGCATTTTACTGTATTAGCCATGAGTAATCCAAGGATAATTCAAAATATACAGAAGTAAGTACACAGGTTATATGTAATTACTATGTTTATATAAAAGACTAGAGCATCCTCAGATTTGGGTATTTACAGAGAGGTCCTGGTCTATAGAGAGAGCTCTTAGAACAGCACTTGACACACAGCAAACACATAAACTATCTTATAATCATACTAATAATTGTACTACTATTTCTTTTACTTTGACTTTTTTTTTTTGGGTCGGTCCCTCAGCATTTCAGCTCAAGGCAAGCACTCTACCACTAGAGCCACAGCACCACTTCCAGTTTTCTGAGTGGTTTATAAGAGATAAGAGTCTCCACAGCCTTTCCTGCCCTTTCCAGCCCTTTCCTCAGATCTCAGCCTTCTGAGTAGCTAGGACTACAGGCGGGAGCCAACAGTGCCCAGCTTTTTGTCTATATTTCTATCATAGAAATTCCTTTGTTTCCACAAATAAACATAATTTTTATGTATTTATTGAGAAAGTCTAACATCAATTTTTAAGTGCCAAAAAAGGAAATCAAATAAAAATAAAACAGGTTTTAAAAAGCTATATAAAAGATATTATCGGGATGGGAAGGTGGCTCAGTGGTAGAGCACTTGCCTTGCATGCATGATGCCCTGGGTTCGATTCCTCAGCACCACATAAACACAAAAAGAAAAAAGCTGGAAGTGGCGCTGTGGCTCAAGTGGTAGAGCGCTAGCCTTGAGCTGAAGAGCTGAGGGACAGCGCCCAGGCCCAGAGTTCAGGCCCCATGACCAGACCCAAAAAATAATAATAATAAAAAATAAAAAAATAAAAGATATTATCATCTAAGTAAAAGATAATGTTCTGTGCCTAAGAACTGTGGGTGGAGGGAAGAGAAGGAGTACTAATACAACAATAAGTATGATCACTAATCATGACATTAACTATATTTAAAGGGTTAGAAAACTAGGGCACACAGAATAAACGTCACATGTGTCAGTCCTCAAGAAAATCCATGCACAGAAATTTACTCATTTTAACATTGTAACATCCAACAATACTCAACAAACAAATGTCTGACTTTGATTCAAAATGGTTTCCCAATCCTGACACTTCCATTAACTTCCTAACCAGTAGCAAAGGGAAACCACTGCCACCTGCTCTGTGTTCTCTACAAAGCTGTCCTAACAAGTGATATATTATTACAAGTGCAAGTTCAGCAGCTACACGGCTGCCAACTTGTTTCATAACTCAGTCAAAAGATGAAAAATGATCAAAAAAATTTGGTCGATTGTAGGGCTTGAACTCAGCGCTGTCCCTGAGCTTTTGTGTCCAAGCCTAGTGCTTCCCCATTCTGGCCATAACACCACTCCTGGTTTTTGAGTGGTTAATTGGTGATAAGAGTATCACAGACTTTCCTGCCTTGGCTGGCTTTGAACCTTGATCCTCAGATCTCAGCCTCATGAGTAGCTAGGATTACAGACATGAGCCACCTGAACCTGGCTCAATGAAAAAAAAAAACTAATTTCCTTTATTTTCAAGCTAAAATTATTATACCAGTTTTCACTGGAAAACCTATCGTTGAAATACCAATCAAGCCTAGTAAAAGTAAGTATTAAATGGATACCCTTAAGACTTAGCTTTAAATTTTGAATTAATGTTTGATAAGAGGAAAGACAAGTTAATGTTACTGAAATCATTTATGCAAGAAAAGTATTCCCATCATAGACTTGTCTTCAAATAGAGTAAAAATATCATCATACACCATGACTGTTTTGTTAAAAAATCAAGAATGGGTATGGTGGGCACATACCTGTCATTCTAGCACTCAAGAGGCTGAAAGAAGATCTTGAGTGTGAGGCCAATCTGGGTGAGGGAAAGTGTCTCCAAAAGATCATTCCCATGCCAAGTTCTGTCTCCCCCCACCAGAAGGGTTAGTGCAGTTTGAAGTGAAGGCTACACAATTAACAAGAACTCTGTGTGTGTGCGTACGTTCGTGTGCGTGCGTGCGTGCGTGCGTGCGTGCGTGCGTGCGTGCGTGTGTGTTGTGGGTCTTTAAGTCTAGGCATGGGCGCTATCCCTGAGCTCTTCAACTCAAGGCTAGAGCTCTACCATTTGAGCTCCAGCACCACTTCCCATTTTCTGGTGGTTAACTGGAGATAAGAACTTCACAGGCATCCCTGCCCAGGCTGGTTTTGAACTGTGATCCTCAGATCTCAGCCTCCTGAGTAGTTAGGATTACAGGTGTGAGCCATCAGCACCCAGCTAACAAGAACTCTTACAGTCCCAAATTGTAACAACTTGTATCTCTAAGATTCAAAATTCTTTATCTAATTACTGTGAAGTATTTTTACATTCAAATTATCCAAAATGTGCATTTACTTCAAAGAGATAAATTCATAACTACAATTAGTTTTTAAAAACAGAATCAAAAGGATGAAATTAAAATATACAGAGAACAAAAGCAGTAATATATACATATACAATAGTAACTACCAGCATCGCCACTTATTAAACAGCTACCTACTAGCCCCACAATGAAGTCTTCATATTTAATTTCTAATAGCAAGTAGCATACTAGTCTTTGTACATAATTCTTGATCTTCACAACCAGCTAAAGAAATCAGAACTTAAAAGGTTAATAGTTCTCTCATAGCCATAGGATGGAAAATGGCAGATCCCAAATATAACTAGATTTAAACCATAACTGAAATTAAAGCATACATTCTTTCCAGTCTGCTATGCTGCTAATGGTAACAATTAGCTCTTGAGGATTATAACATAAACAGTACAAAGAAACTGTCATCAACTCAGTTTACCAATGACTAAAGCTCATGTCCATGCTTTCCAATTTAAGGAAGTTCATGAATCTTTAATCTTCCTGATGTATTAAAGAAAATTAGCATGAGTACCCATACTATCCCACGAATAGAGACAATTTCAGATAATCATATGCCTTCTACGTGTTACCACTGTAAGATAGAACCTACACAAA